AATGGTCGGCCAACTGGCCCTGTTGGTGCGTTTGCTTGAGCAAAGTGTATCTTTGTGCTCTGGCACATTGAAGCTGGGCTTACTGACGAGGTGTGCTGCCTTACCTGTTGCGGATGGGCCGATTGCATTTTCACCCGGGCTGAATCGCCATCCGGCATGAACAGTCTAATTGCCCATTGCTGTGTCCGTAATGGGGGTCAGTGCATGTCTGAGCTTGAATAGACACCTGCGAAGGTGTCTGATCTGAGGAATTTCCCTCATTGCCACTTTATTGCCTGCATCAGCATCCAGGCCCATAGGGCTATTGTATACATACATAAACAAGTATGCACACATCCATGCGAATAGAGCAAGAAGGAGGGTTTTGTTTCCCACCTACTTAGTTCTGTGTTTCTCGGCTTTCTGGTTAACCAGTTAACTGATGTCGCCCAGACAATAATTGCCAACTTTATGCGTGTATGCTTATCCAGGGGTAGACTTATTTCAATAGCTTTTCCGACAACCTCGCTGTAGTCACAAATCTTGGGTTGCTGTTCGAGCAATCGTCCGGGAATCACATGGACTGACTGTTGGCAAACTTCCTGCCATGCGTCTATTAGCAATTTGCCCACAGACGCGCAAGGCGACCGGATAAGGAGGATGAGCAAGAGGAAGAGGTAAAGATAGAATAGGAGTAGATGACAGTTTAGGATAACAGAAGAAAGAGAAGGAGAAAAAGAAGAGGAGGAGGAGAAGAGCGATAGAGAAGGAAATAAGGAAAAGAATGAGCAGGAGGATAAGGCAGCCTAGACCTTTCTCAGGTCCTTCTACACGAAATTGAGGTAGCCGGTCTGAAATTTTATCTCCTGTCGGCAGCACCTGCTATACAGACTTTGCAGCGGGTTCAGCTCACCTTCATTCTATAGACTGCCCTCCTGTTCACTTTTCTCCTCAAACCTCGATTGTTTTCAGGCTAATGTGTCCCGGTAACGTGGCTAAAATCACTCAATCTCTGCTTTCCTGTCTTTCCGTGGACGATGTCAAAGACTCAGACTTATTGGTTGGATCTAGACAGGAGAGAGACGGTTGGGCGACCTCGGATCTCGGTTGTCGCGAGGCGGAGAAGAGCGAACGATTGATGCAAAAGCATTTCGTCTCAATACAACCCGACTCGACATAGTCCTGGTCAGAGCTAGACCCTGACGTTCCCGTCCGCCTTCCGGCGAGCGGGACCCGAACAGGATGCAGGTTTTACTGATTGACCAAGCTTGGATCCCTCCAAATGGAGTGTCACAAGAGGCCTAGTCGAAGTGTCTTTGTGCTCTAATCATGTTTTTATATACAATATTTTTACGATTATTGACTTTGGTGACTTTTCTCTATGACATATTTCTCGAACGAATGAAATTTTATCTGAGCTTTTAGACACTCCATAGGCCGTTATTCATTTGCCGCCACTTCTCTGTCGCTAGTCGCGTTTGCCTTCAGTGCATTTCCGTGTGTGCTTGTATTTGGTTATTCTGCAGAAGAAAGGGACAGATGGCGAATTTCGCGGTTGTATCAAGAAGAAAAGCATGAAATAGCATACCTTTTAGGTAGTAAATCCATTAAAAAAAAACACAAAAGTTCTGAATCATAACCGTCCAACAGGAACATTTTGAAAACTCGGAAACAGAAACCCTTCCAGACCGGCTAGAAGACTGTTGGGCCACGGAAAAGGTCGCATTTGCAAGCGGGTTGGAACAAGTTGAGATGCCGTCATGGCGGCGGCGTTTCGAGGAGGCTGGTCCGGCTGAAGCAGGCCTGTCGACAGCATTTGCTCAAGACAGAAAGCAAAAGTTGCGATTTCTGCGGTGGCGATGCCGCGGCGGGACTGCAAACGGAGGCGTAGAAGAGGCCGGCCCAGATCATCTCCATTGCATGACTTGGCCGGACTGATAAGGCATGCATCATGTCTACGAGGCATTGGAATCGCGATGGAGGCCAGTCCTACACGCCTTCTTGGCGACATCGGCATCAATGCGACCAATTTGGCCGATGTGGCCGCAAGACCGTCTAATGCACTCTCAACGTCGGTTGCCGGGTTGAGTTGCTGTGGCGTCCAAACATGTCTCGACTTGCCCTATGTTGGCATGTCTGTTTGTCTCTTTATCCACCCGTGCTGTGGCTGCGATCTGTTGGCCTGACTGTGGTCGTCGTGCCTATTTTTCGCTAATGTATCCCAATTTGTGGCAGTAGGTGTCCCCACTTGAGCAGGGCTTTGTTATTGCTTCAAGCAATTACGGCGTCTTTTGTGAGAAGTAACCCTCAACTGAGCATGTTTACGTGGATTGTTTGAGAAAAGACCGTAATTTAGCGGATATTGTGGAATAACCGAAAAGTGAAGCCACAAATAGGATAGAGTAAGATGGAATGAGCCGGACAGAAATGAGCACCAATAGGCTCGGGATAGTGGGATGAGGTAGGGGGCAGTGATAAACATGTCGGATGGCACTAAATGCCTACAGCATTGCTGCTATGGCTAAAGTTGATTGCAGCAGGATTCGAGCCGAATCTGGCGCATGGGTTGGAATGATTAAGACAAATGGAAGTGCGAGGCAAATAATAGTGAAATGGAAAAGAGGTTTTCGCTTTTCGGACAATGAAACAGTTATGACTTCAAACATGCTACCGATGAAATGTGACAGCAGAGTTAGCACCCCAGGCAACAGATGACCGAAAATAAGCGACCAGGTAAACAGGTAAATAACCAAGGCTTTGGTGCAATAACAATTTAGACTCGGAAATAATCCTTTAAAATGTCGCCACCATATAAAGTAGGCGAACAAGGCCCAACGCCTCCGCAACTAAAGTCGAGGTAGCTATGACCACAGGTAAACAGGTACAGATGTGTTATCTTGTCTGAATGAGCAACCCTGTGAGGCCGGCTAAAGTATTTAGAAGGCAGAAGGAGCCTCAGCAAAAATGGGTTGAAAAGTTCCGATGCACAAAACTAGTTGATATTAGTTAAGGATGAAAAAATCGCAGGCATGCAAACAAGCAAACACACACATACACACACACACACACACACACAGGTTGAATCATAACTGTAGGCCCACGATTTCATGTTCGCCGTTGTCTAAACCTTGAAGTGAAGCCGTAGTGAGATCGTCGCTAAGACGATATGCTTGTCGTGGAGATGTCATTCGTAGTCATGCAAATGAGGCTCAGGTGGGTTAGAGGAAACTGGGCAAGTGTGATTAAGAGGCTCTTATGTGACTAGGAGGTGGGCAACCGTTCTGACCTGTCGAAGGGGTACAGACTGGCCAATTCAATGCAGTCAAAAAGTCTGGTCTGACCGATTTTACATTTGCCCAGCGCTTCGTCAGAGCATCCAAGTCTACCGTCGCCTGGAAAATGGAAGGAACGGGTTAATCTGTGGAATTTGATGCTGGAAAATAACAGTTCTAAAGTAGCATTTCAGTCGTGCGTGTGCTAGTCAAGTCAAGTGGACAGCCAGTGTTTGCTCTTGCGACGGTATCCGTGCCTGCGTACATGTGTGTGTCCGAGTTTGATGGATGGTTGAGTTAGTGTGTTGTGATCAAGATGGTATGACCTACGGGAAATAGCGCTCCGATCAGCTCCCCTCGGAGTGGATGCGGAAATGCTTCCGAGAGGTTGCCGCCAGTAGGAAAGATTCCCCGTTTCTGTATGGCGCTTTGTAGAGGCTGAAGACAATTACCCGTTGTCAAGACATGAAAGAGCTTTGTTATTAGACCCTGTCATGATCTTTAGAGGCATCTTCGACTTCTCGGTGATTTCAACGAGCTTGCGGCAAATGTTTTTTTGGCCAGTTTGGCTTAACCTGTCCACCCATCCATCCTTCGGTTTATCAATCTATCTTCACCCATACCCCGAACTGCAGGCTTCGGCTTCTATTGAAAGGTCTGGTTGATAAGGTAACCAGCAACTCCGGCTATATACATTCGTTTGTTAGGCAGCCAGCGAACGGTCTATTCGCAGCGATCAAAAGAATGAGTTTGACGCTCTGGAGTCTGGAATGAGCTTTAAAGGCAGAGAGTGGAAGGTCGTCTGTATTGTTAGTCGCGTGGAGAGCGAGGCAACGAGGAGGAGGAAGATGAGGAAGAGGAGAAGAAGACAAAGAGACAGAAGAAGGAGCAGAGGAAAGAGGGGC